TATGTAATGTGTGATGAGGGTCTGAGTCTTTTGTTGAGATTGAGTGTGGGTGGTTGGTGTCTGTGGATGCTGATATTGATCTGATTTTCGCGGTAACCGTTTTGAATGAGGACTTGTTTTAAACTCGAGAGCTTAGTGGGTCTACTTGCTTCATCGTAAAGGCGTATTAATAGAGACAAAGGTATTAACGACTGAATAATTTGTGAAAGTTGATGATGAGAGTTAGCATGCAAGTAACGATTAGTATGATTTTCGATAAACAGAGTGATGAAAATCTTTTGATTGGTTTTTTGAAACCAATAGGGATAAAATCTGTAGAAGAAACGGTAGGGATGAATCAGTTTTCACCTCCATCGTGAACTGGATACTAGAATGTATACCATTCAGATGGGTTTGAAGAGACACCAACGTATCCCTGCTATGGGGTCAAATAACGAATGTATCATCAACATATCGTAGCAAACATGTGTGTTTGAGCATTGATGTGGACTGCTTGGGCCTCGAAGTCTTCCATAAAGATATTGGCTTCTTCTTCTTCAGTGCCTTATCCGGTCCGGATATTGGCGATCATCAAGGCTATCATGGTTTTGTTGACTGCTCTGCGAAACAGCTCCGCTAAGGTCATCCCAAACCATTGTCGGAGATTTATCAACCACGAGATACGACGGCGTCCCGGTCCTCTTCTGCCAAATACTTTACCCTGCATAAGGAGTTGAAGAATTCGATATTTTTCTTCGTTCCGCATGACGTGGCCGAGGTACTCAAGCTTACGTTGTTTAATTAAATTAAGCACTTCTTTTTCTTTTTTCATGCGCTGTAGTACCTCAACGTTGGTGACATGGTCCACATAAGATATTTTTAGTATCCTTCTGTATATCCACATCTCGAAGGCTTCGATTCGTTTTTCAGTGGCTTGCGTCAGTGTCCAGGCTTCAACTCCATATAGTAACACTGGAAGAACGTAGCACCTCACTATTCGCATCTTGGTTCCCAAACTGAGATCACTGCAGCACAGCAAGGATCTCAACTTAATAAATGTAGACCGTGCCATTTCAATTCTGGATCTAATCACTTGAGCGTAGAATCTGTCGACTCTCTGGATCTCTTCGCTACCTGCCATTAGTGTCCCGGGATCTAAATTTTTACGGCTTTACAGTCGTAAAGATATTGGCAATTACAGGAAATAGTGGAGAGCCCATTGGGGCACCATTTATTTCTCTGTAGAATTTATTTTGAAAGATAAAATAAGTGTTGGACATACAATGTATACTGAGATATAAGTGGTCTTGCTGGATATTGTGTTTACTTTTCAGAATGTTTGAAGTTTCGTATATAGAAATGTTTGTAAAGAGTGATACGATATCGAAATTTACTAGAATGGTTGACGGTGAGATAGGGTATTGCTTAAGAATTCGATGAAATGAAAAGAATTTCTGATGATGGATCGAGAGGTTGTAGAATTTTGGCCAAGTACTTGGACGATGATTAAGTAGGGCAGTTATATGCACTGACAATGGGCGATAGAGGAAAATCGGATTTGTGAATTCGGGATAGGCAATATATTCTTGGTTTTCTGGAATTTAATTTTTTAATTATAACTGTCTTGATAAATCTTAATTTAATTGTAACTGGCTGACTGACTTCATCTAACTTAATGCCTTCTTATAACTTAATTTAACTTAATCACTTTATGAATTCTTCTAATTTAATTTAACTTAATCACTTCATGAATTATTCTAACTTAATCAATTGTAACTGACTGACTGACTTCTGTAACTTAATCAATTGATTGTAAATTCATGCCATAATGTAACTTAATTCTTGAATTCTTCTAACTAACTAACTGCCTGCTCCAAATTACCTGGTATTTATATTATTTTATGGTTCCAGACTTTTCTAACAATAAACCATGTCCGAAAATTTTCATCTCATCCATAGATGAAAGTTCTGGAATCATCGATTATGCAAATAGGGCTAACTGGCTTGTGTATTGACGTTTTCCAGAAAATTCTAGTGAGAACTTATGGACATTTAGGCTTTACAGATCAGAATTCACTATTATATATATAAACTAAATATATTACACTAATATACTACTATTTTACATCCGTAATTATATTTAAATTAAACATCCCAAATAATAAATATGTCAAATATGTAAAAATGTTAAATAACACAGTGTATGTTTGGTTGCATATGCACATGGCTCAATTAAATATGTTTATAATTAAAAAAAAAACTTTTAACATTTAGTATTATGCTAAATTCTTAAAAATACCCCCATATAATTATTTTTGAATAATATTCGCCAGTATATAACTTATAAATTATTTCTTTAACCACTATTTAAGTAAGTTTATTAATTAAACATCATAATATTACTATGCTAATTTCTTGTATATCTAATTATTATTCCAATATATATATATATAAATAGAGTGTGTATAACGACGCTAAGAATACAATTCTTTGGAGGGTAACTTTCGGGAAAGCGTCAAAATAAGGATCAGCTAGAGATGGTATAAGCCAGTTTGGTGTAGAACTTTATTCTAAATGTGAAATTTTCGTAGATATGTTGTCACCTTCATCAGCACCTAAATGGAAAACCTATTATAGTACAAGTGGTGGAAATCAACATTTAAAAACCTACATTGAAAATGTTCAGTTGGTCCTAGTGGTAAAGAACACTGTCACAAACATGTTAAAAATATTAAAAAATACATTTAAAATTTTGAATAAAAACATTACAACACAACAGGGTATTTTTTCAAATACAAACACAACAAAAAGTCTAAAATTTACAACCTACAAAAACTGCAAATAGCAAAGAAGAATTAATCTTCTTTTTTGATGACATATTTCTGTCAACATCCGGGTGTCATATGTAACGAGGTTATAATTTTCACTTTTGCACCTCACAACCACATGGATATGAAAAGAAAGAGCCCCAGGCAACATAATCAGCAAGGAAATGAAGTCTTTTCTCAAGTACAGGTAGGTAATCTATGCATGTTATGATAAGTTCCCTACATTTTGCAGTTTGTTACTTCTTGTCAAGTCCTGTTGAAGTTGAAAGGAATAAATACAACTTAAGTTTTCAACATCTTTCTTACAGTTCATAGGAGAGCTGCAGTTATGGATGTAGCACATTTCTATGAAGTTTCTCTTAAATTGGTTGTCAACCCTCTTTAGTACTTGCACATTTTCATAGTTAGCAGTGTGTCCAGTATTCTTAATATGTTGGCTAAAGGCTGTGCTGGTGGGCTTCCTCACAACATCACTCCTGTGCAAAGCTATTCTTTTTGAGAGTTTCTGGCTGGTTTAACCGACATACACTTCTGAACAAGAACCACATGGAATAGAATACACTACATTGAAGTTATCAAGTTTTTTAACTCTTTCTGTCAGGTGAGTAAAGTATGTCCCTAATCTTTTGTAAACAGAATTTGCTATCACTATGTTGAACTGTCTGAAAAGGTTTGTGATCTGTGGTGATAAACCTTTGATGTAAGGCAATCTCCCATAGAACACTTCTACTGTTTCTCCTTCTAATGTTTGTCTTTGGTGTGTTCTAACTGTTGGCATATCTTGAAATAGCAGTTTATTAAGAAGCATCTTAGGGTAGTGATTCTTTCTAAGAATCTCATACAATAACTTGATGTTCTTATTGTAGTTAGTAGGGAACTAGGAATCATAATATGCATAGATTACCTACCTGTACTTGAGAAAAGACTTCATTTCCTTGCTGATTATGTTGCCTAGGGCCCTTTCTTTTCATATCCATGTGGTTGTGAGGTGCAAAAGTGAAAATTATAACCTCGTTACATATGACACCCGGATGTTGACAGAAATATGTCATCAAAAAAGAAGATTAATTCTTCTTTTCTATTTGCAGTTTTTGTAGGTAGTAAATTTTAGATTTTTTGTTGTGTTTGTATTTGAAAAAATACCCTGTTGTGTTGTAATGTTTTTATTCAAAATTTTAAATGTATTTTTTAATATTTTTAACATGTTTGTGACAGTGTTCTTTACCACTAGGACCAACTGAACATTTTCAATGTAGGTTTTTAAATGTTGATTTCCACCACTTGTACTATAATAGGTTTTCCATTTAGGTGCTGATGAAGGTGACAACATATCACCGAAAATTTCACATTTAGAATAAAGTTCTACACCAAACTGGCTTATACCATCTCTAGCTGATTCTTGTTTTGACGCTTTCCCGAAAGTTACCCTCCAAAGAATTTATATATATATATATATATATATATATATATATATATATATATATATGTATATATGTATATATATATATATATATATATATATATATATATATGTATATATGTATATATATATATATATATATATATATATATATATATATATATATATTCTGTGTCCCTTTTCTTTAAACCACCACGCTGTATCTGTCAAAGTGGAATATGTACTCGTATAATACCATGTATGCATATAATAAATTTTTGCCCATCCTCCTTTACCCAAGACGACAGCCGAAATTCTAAGAAGATTGGTCAATTTCAAAGTAGAAGTGAAGATAGAGAAGTTCCTAGAATGACTTGAAGGTATGAGAAACAAGTCCACCTGCAACTAATTTGACAATAAACATTCAATTATAAAGTTTCCAGAAGAACTAAAGGTTATATAAACTTTTTGGATATTCAAATCATGAATGTGTTGCTTGTGTGAGTCCATTTCAAATAGGTAAAGAAATAATAAACTAGACTTTATAACTATCTATCTCCCCTTCTATCTACAATTAGTTGTTATTCCGAAATATATCTCACAATTTTTACATTAACATTGGGAACTCCTTTCTTATTCATATTTTTCACTTATCTACTTTATAATGGAAATTGCATCTCTTACATAAATTCAAATTTATTTTAAATGAATGAATTCATTTGTTTAGTAATATTTAAATGTACTTAGTGCCTTTATTTTTACCTAAAAAATGTTACTATATTTTGCTCTTTTAGTTACAGACTTTGCAGATGGAGACACTCGCTAAGATGCTTCCAAATTATCATCATCTAAAAAAACCAAATACAAAAGTTTGAGAAACAGATATCGCTAATTATTTTGAATTAATACCAACTGCTTGATATATGGTTTAAAGATAGCTACATGTAAAGGAATGAGTCATGATTAATATTATGTATAAATTATTCGTTTGTTTTTATTAATATTTATAATAAAAAATACCTATACCCCAAGTTTTAATTTTTTTTTGTTTCCTTATTTGGTTTCGGTTATCATATGCGAAGAATGCAGACCAATATTACTGATCCATATGAAATAGAACCGGATGGAAATAATAAATTAGAATGAAGTTTCTTTAAACCTGAAAACCAAAGATTGAATCACTCGATTAGTTTGCTGGACACAGGTTCTTGCCAATGTTAAGTACTCAAAGGGGAATAAAAATATATCTTTACAGCATGACTATGTATTGCTTAGTTAACATAGCCTAAACTTGAATAATCGTGACGCTTTAATTATCTAATATCTGATATGAGTTATATTTTGTTGTACCCACTGGCTTCGCTGTGTAGGGCGACCAACAACAACCACGTCGCATCTAATCCATTAACATAAATCTTTGGTTTTTAAATCCTTGGTGATTAAAATCTATTAACATAAAAATTTCATTATCTGTTACCTGATACGAGTTACATTTTGCAAAAATGCCATGCCTAATTGAACCAATAAATCAATTAAATGGCGAAATAGAAAGCAAGTAAAAGATTTTTTAGGGGAATCATCTTTGGCAAGTTTCCAAAAAAATAAATTCCAGCGGTAAGTTGGAATAGGCGCACCGGCCCGCAGGCCGTGAGTACATGTGCCTGTAAAAAGTCAAAAAAGCTGCATTAGAACAAAATATTGACACTGCAACTGTGGAAGAGAAAGTTAACCTTGAAAACGTGAAGAATAAGTGCTGCATTTTATGACTTAAAGACTTAGTACAAAAGGAAAGCCAGAAAAACTCATGAAATGGAAGCCATTGCTTTGGATTTCCAAAGAACTTACACACTACCAACAGCACTACAAATGATGTTTATTACAAGTGACAATTAAATTTTGTTTTATTCAAGATTCATGTTCTTTCTGATCAGAAATCTGTGTTTTATAGATACGATGAAAGTATTGCTAAGAAGGGAGCTGATGAAGTGTGCTCGATGATTGACCATTTTGTGACTTCCATTCTGCCCCTGACTGTTCGTAATCTTACATTATTTGGCTAAATTTGTGATGGTTAAAACAAAACCCGTACAGAAATACGTTATCTGCATTATTTAGTTACAAAGCAAAACAATTTGACAATGTTAAAGTAATGTTTCCTATTAGAGGTCACAGAAAACGCCTCGTCCTTTGTCAAAACTCTTTTCATTTCGTTCATCCTCTGAAAAACATTTCTATTTTACCCTCAGATATACTGGTTAGTTTTGACATTGTTTCTCTATTCAACAACATTCCTATCGATGAAACCATTTCCATGTTGGACTCCAAACATCAAATCCCCCAAGACACATTATCTCTTATAAAACACTGCATGTCTACTACATATTTTTCATTCCAAAATCATTTCTATCGTCAAATCAAAGGTGCCTCAATGGGATCCTCGATATCCCCCGTAATAGCTGATGGAACATTTCGAAACAATAGCCCTGTCCTCATCAAATCTCAAACCCACCTGCTGGTTACGGTACGTTGATGACACCTTTGTCATTTGGCCCCATGGTAAAGACACATTAGATCTCTTTCTCTCCCACCTGAATGGAATACATACCAGTATACAATTCACGATGGAAGTTGAGTTTGAAACGTCTTTGTCATTCCGTGATGTTCTTATTCAGAAAAACTACCTCACAGTTTTTCCTATTCTGTGTACCGCAAATCCACTAATACAAACCGTTATCTCAATGCACAGTCACATCATCACCCCGCCCAACTCAATTCAGTTATCAATACCCTTATTTACCGTTCCATAAGACTTAGCGACAACAATCACCGGTCATCCGAAATCAATTCAATAAGGCAAACACTCTTAAACGGCTATCAAAAAACCCAAATTAATAGAAGCATTCCAAAACATCTAAACCCCATTTCATCCAAAAAAAGAAACCTTGCCGCCGGATCAACCCAAAATCTTTCTACCTTTTATTCTAAGGTGTCACTGAGAAGATCAGTAGAACTCTTATCCCTCTAAACATCAAAACCATCTTCACTACTCACTCCAAGGTCTCCAATCTCGTCAGATTCGTAAAATACCAAATCCCCAATGAAGACCATGGTATCTACGAAATACCTTATTCCAGTTTCCCACGTTCATACATAGGACAGACAAACCGACGAATTCATAACCGCATTTACGAACATTCTCTATCAGTCAATAATTCAGATACCTTTCAGCCCTAGCCCAACATCACATTCAGACAGGCCACAAAATAGATTTCGAAAAAGCAAAAACCATCGTCTTCATCCGCTCCTTAAAATCGAGAATCATTCGTGAAGCCATCGAAATTGAAAAACGGCCAAACAGCTTAAATACACGCGATGACGCTAAACGATTACCGGCAACATGGCGACCGCTACTTCAGCGAAACCCCACCCCGACCCACACCACTCAGGCCACGTCAGCAGAGACCACGTCAGCTCAGACCACGTCAGCTCAGACCACGTCAGCACTTACCGTTCCCGCGAATACTGATAGTATAAAAGCAGCCACACAGGGTAAGACTGTGGAGTCAGTAGAGTTCGACGAGTTGAGTTGGAGTCTACATCGTGCATTCGTAGTGAACGGTCGTTTTCTGTTTTTAGGTCTCGTGTTGCACCTACAGCATTGAGTCAGTAGAACAGCCATAGGCATTGTTCATTGTATTGACTGCTTGGGCGACACTGTCTGAAGATAAGAGGCGAATACAAAGAAGACAAAGAAAACAAAGGAACAAAGGATTCATTGTTGTTCCAACGGAAAAAAGCCACGTGATACATTGATTACAGTGCTCCTATTGTGTTTGTTAGCTGCTCCCATCTGCTGTGGAGATTCTGTTGGTCAGGGTGAGGGCTTAGTGGATAGTCCGTAAAAAAGCCATCCAAGTACGCTGTAGCCGGGGCTTTCAGCTTCCGTTAGAGCGATAGGATGACTAGGTCCGGCATAGTAGTGGCGTTGTAGTTAATTGAAGAATGAAGAAAGAAGAAAGTGGTGTGTTTGCTTGTGATAGTGTGGAGTTTCATCGAAGTCAGTACGTCAACTACTTTCATACTTTGATTTTATAGTAGTCCTGGTGTATGCTTAGTGGGTGGTTGCCGTAAGAAAAGGCCACCTACGGACGCAGTTGCTGGTTCTACTAGTTTATTAATTGAGAGTTGTCTGGCTGACTCTGCGTTAGGGCGACGAACTGACACCTGGGAAAATTCCTACAGTTGTTAATTGTATAAGTAGTAACTGTTGGGAAAACAGTTGGTGCTACAAATTAATAAACATAAAAACAACTAATATCCATTAGACGTGCATCGAGGCACCGACAGCTTATATTAAGAGTTTGTATAGTCCGGCCACCCGCCATCCTTTACATTGCACCGCTTATTGGAAAAAGGGTGTCTTCTAGGTACTTAGACCTAGCCCTCCACTGTTGAAAATGCCACGTTCGACCCGTTCCAACAGGTCAAATAAAATGCGCCCTGCTGAACCTCCCGACCCTCCTCCTATACCAACACAACTAAATACCTCAATCTCAGATGTCGACTACGCAGCGCTACCACCCATTTCCACATATCCACCTTTACCAACACAAAGAGCCTCGCATAACCCTGTATCACCAATGCCAAATTCACCTATACATTACTCTCAACCTGCACCACGCACCTGTGAAGTACCTACCTTACATATACCTGACGCCACTCCTCTGATGAATGTTGCCACCGAAAACTTCGTCGAGGAGCTGGTTTCCACCCTCCCAGAAGACCAAATCGAACGGTTGATCGCGCGTTTGCAGCTGTCCCGGTCCTCCTCCACCTCAAATCTACACACAATCCCGACTACTACCCAAGCTACCCTGCAACAACACACTTTCACCACACATACCACTCAGATACAACCATCCACACAAATTAAGAACCACATAAAACCTCAAAATCCTCCTCAAAACCCACGTCAAATCACACCACATAACCGTACCTAGGCCTCCGCTACACACACTCCTAGACCTCAACCTGCACCTGCTGTCCCTACCCCTGCTCAACAACCCAAATATTTTAATTACACCATTACCAATATATTTTTGGAGAAATCCACTCGAAAGAGATTTCTTCAGAGTTATCAATACCAGAGAACTACTACTAAACCAAATATCCACCGTCAAAGTGCTCCCGACTCAAACCGCTCACCTTACCACCCCACACCCGATAAATCACCTTGACGTCCAAAAGCGACTCCGTGATGCGTTGGGCGATCCCAGGGTACAAATCACACCCAAACACAAAGCCGCACCAAAAAACAATAACACCCGTACTAATAACCCTGGTTTTATGGTGGTCGTCAAAGGAGTAGATAAAATCTATTCCGATGCCGAACTCACTATCCTTTTCAATCAACTTGGAATCCCTGTAGTTCGACAATGGCGGATAATATCCCGAGCTAAATTTCCCACTACCTTCAAACGGGCATACCATTGCGGAGTGCCCGCAAAAACAGTACCGATGCCCTACCTGTGGTCTAGACCACAAATCAACTTCCTGTCCCACTCCACAATCTCCTAAATGCCCTAACTGTGGTGGTGAGCATGCGGCCTATTCGGTCAAATGCCCACACAGAAGGGAAATACCTAAAACACCCCAAGAAATCCAACCTATCACAACCGACAAAAGAGACCCACCCTATGAACTGTCCTCAGACATAAAGACAGTCATGGAATTCACCTCCTTAATCCTGATTAACCTCCTTCCGGATGTCACTAACCGCATTTCTACTCTGATGTTCGGTCACAAGAGCACTCTAGTGGACCATAACAACAGAGCTTCCCTCTCCTTCCTTCCCCTCTAATGGATAGTTCGTTTGGTGCTGTGAACTGCCAGGGTGTTTGACACGCTTTCAAAAACCGACCCTATTTTCCCTGGTTATTGCACCGTACACCGTCCCCGTAGCCAAATATCTTGTGGGATTGACTTCCTTATTAAATATGGCATCCCTTTTTCCCCTCACAATATTCCAC